CTTCTTTTTTTTTTCTTTGAGTCTATGTTTAAAAGTTGGGGGAGAGGGAGTTTCCATTATGTTGTGCCGGCTAGTCTGGAACTCCTGGGTTTGAGTGATCTTTCTATTTCAGCATTCTAACTAGCGGGGACTACAGGTATGTCACTCTGCTTGGCACATGGTTAGGTAATTTTGAGGGCTAGATGCTTGGAGATGTTTTACCAGGCAGGAAAAGACCTAGCAGATGAAAACAGTGGTTTATATACAAATTGTTTCTGATTTAAAAAAAAAGACAGTCAAGGTTCCTGGTCATTTGTTACTACTTTCCCCAGCTCTTTCCACCAAAACTCAGCAGAAAGCCCCACGCCTGCGCTCTAATATAGGAGGAGGTAAGTGGACATTCCCACATGCTAGCTGAAGTTCCAAGCAGTGGCAAGCAACTTCATTGAATCTGAAGAGCTTCATCAAACAGAGCAAAGACAACATATAATACATACTTGATAAAATTGTATTTTTTTTACAGTCATTTGTACAATTTGTTACAAAACCATAGAAGACTACAACTTGTTTTAAATCATTTTTGGTCTGCAAATAGGTAAAATCTGTGTGCAATTATCATGTATTTACAGGGCCTTGTGTTAGTCATTTTCAATGATTATTCCAACAATGTCACACTCTCAACATAAGACATGGCTTAAGATAAATATATTAGTAAATAAATATTCTGAGAACATATTTCCATAAATGAAATGTGCTGCTATACATATACAGAATATACATAAGTTGTTTTCTAGCTTTTAAAACATTTTTTAAAAAATGGTAATGTTGGAAAAGAAAGAGCCCTTAGACCATTTTATTACAAAAATCTTTACAGCAAAGTCTTTACAAAATCTCTTTTAAGTGCTGTGGGAAAACTTTAAAAAAAAAAAACAAATACAAGAAGTTTTAAAATAGTGCCTTGTTAGACCATCACAATAGTTTTATATAAAGAATAGAAAAAGGCAGTTCTGTTTCAAAGACAATCTTCTTGGTTAGTAATTATTTTTTTAGACCTCATTTTGAAAGCATTAGTCCTGGGTGAACCTTGAGACCAGAAGCACATAGGGAGGGTCTGAGCCTGGGACCGCATGGGGAACTTAATACATGGCTTCAGCTTGAAGGAGTGGGAAAGGGGCTGAGAGTTAAAGCCAGTTTAGGGATGGGAATGTGGCTTAGTGGTAGTGTGCTTGCCTAGCATGCATGAGGCCCTGGGTTCAATTCCTCAGTGCCACATAGACAACAAAATAATAATAATAGTAAAAAATAAAGCCAGTTTAGTGAGGCTGTGTCCACAAAGAGGTATGTTGTTGGTTAGAATGCCCAAACTGCCATTTTCCGCAGGTTCAAGAAGTCTGCAGTTTAAAGGGCTGTCTTACTCTCAGAGTTGGGCCCCAAAACCTCATCCTAGTAACACTCAGAATGGAAGATGGGGTGGTTCTTATGAGAAGTGGGAGGTTCCATTTCCACGGCTACATCACAACTCACCAGAGTCCACTGAAAAAAGATATCTGTCTTACTGGAGTCTTAGAACTTCCTAGTAGGTATTCATTTTCATGGTGACAAAAAAAGGTAGTTGGTTATAGTATTCTGAAAACCTCTCCGAATAAGACAACAAAAAGAGGGTTGTTTAAATTTTTAAAGTTTCATTTTTGTTCCTACCTACCACTCAAACTATAAAAACATGCCTTCTGTTATCTGAAGCGATCATTCTTTTAGGTGAAAACTGGAAGCATGTGTATTTGAATCAGTTCAGTGGCAGCCAAATTCTCTACTTAATGCTTAAGGCTACAAAGTGGTTTTTCCACATAGGACTATACAGAATGCAAGTTTAGAGATATGTTCTAGACATTACAGTATACTAGGTATTCAAAGACATTAAAGAAGAAAGCAAGCAAAACCACAAATAACAACAACAAAAAAATCTCAGTAAGAAGTTGCTTTTTGCAACTTAAAAACCATTACATCAGCCAGGTTCCAATGGCTCATGCCTATAATCCTATTTTGGAGGTTGAGATCTGATGACTGCCACTTAAAGCCAGCCTGGGCAGGAGTCTGTGACATTATCTCTAAACACACACACACACACACACACACACACACACACACACACACACACACACACAGCCATATCCTCCCCATTTCCTATAGTAATGCAAGCTGTTATCCCTAGTAGCAGAGGCTGCTAGCAGCTGAGGTGCTTTTCACACTCAACCAACAGGTTTGTCAGGCGCAGCCTGGGAAGGCAGCACAGATGGGACTGTACAAATCCCACCACAGACTTCCTAAACGGCAAATGGCTGGATCATTTGATGCTGGTATTTCTTTGTATTAAATGCTGGTTAGAAATAAGCAAATTGCCTTGTCATAGGCTGGGATTTTAAAGAACAAAGTATTCTGATACAGTGCGATTCTCTCTTCAAACACTCTGGGTGACTTCCTGTGAGCCAGACTGGAAGAGGGGTCAGCAGTCTCCAGACCCTATTTTCCACGTACAGACAGTCAGGCCCGGAGGATCCTATTCTATAAAAGAGCTGTGAAGAGCCATGAGCCCCAATTCTTTCAGATGACAACAAATACCTGGTAAATGAATAAAAGTGACCAGAAAAAGCAAATACAAGGGCTAATCTGATTGTGTCCTATAAAAATATATGATATCTCTATATATCATATATAGATATGAATGAATAAAAGAACAAGGGCTACACTGGACAAGGATGACAATCCCTGATCTGAAATAGTTTTAAATAGATTCTCTCTCCCTTTTAGAAATGAAACATTAAAAAAAAAAAAACACCAAAAAAGATTTGTTTGCATTTTTTAAAACTTTCCCTTCCCCTTATTAAAAAAAAAAAGCTGGAAAAATACATAAACACCTACCCTTTGGGTCTAAACTGATAGTCTCCCTTGTCTCATGGAAAATCAATACATAATAGTGCATTAGGCAGACAGATAGTAGACGTTTGCAGGTGAGATGAGCAATTTCAGCTCTGAGGCTGAACAACCCTGAAGCGTGCTTCTGTGAAGAAAAGGGATGGGAGGTGTATCATTGAACTAAGCTCAGTGCACCCCCCCCCCGGGGTGGGGGGTCCCCAGCATGTGACCCCAGGAAGGCAGCCCCAGGAAGCAGCAGCAGAGGGGTGGGGCTACCCCCACACAGACACCTATGCACCCCAGGCCTCTCTGTCCCTCCTCCAAAGGGTGGGGTGCTGCTGGGTGAGCAGAGCCCTCTTTCCCAGCCTCATCAGACACCAGGCCACAAAACTACATTCCTCCTGGGTGTCTGCTCCGCACGCCCTGTGCCCAGCCATCCCTGCAGCCAGAGGCAGGAAAGCCCTTCATATTTTTGCTAAAGGATTCCAAAGTGGGGACTAGAGATGAAAGAGCTTCGTTTTCCTTGTCCAAGGAGCCAGAGTAAAGAAACCCAGGAACACTGACTGCCCTTGCTAGGATTTGGACCACTGCCGAGACAGGACTGTGAGCTCTTGTGGCACTGACTTGGAATGATGGTCCAAATGGACAGGTTGAGGATACTGGGCAGATGGGTCACGTGGGCTCCCCCGGAACCGCAGACTCGGCTTGCTCCTAGCCATTTCCATCCACGTCTAAAGGCTGGAGAGGTCTGGCTTCTGTTTGGGATGTTTGGACTTGCCACGAGGAGGAGAGGCAGCTTTGCGTCACCCCTCGGTTTGTACCCATATAAGCTAGCTTGACTTCAAGTTTCTGGTTCATTTCTAAGGCAGGTGTAGCCCTGAGCATTTCAAAGGCCTGAGCTCCCTCCTGGGAGACCACAGTATCTACACATGACGTGGTTCATTTAATGCAGCAGTGATTTTTTTTCTCTTTTTCAGCAAAAGTTGGTGGTTAGGGTTCTTTTAAAATATATATATTTAAATAACTTTTTACATTTACATATAATATCTTAAACAAAACAACAAACAAGCAGAGAACTCAATCCCACACACCTCGGAACCCCAAGCACACACTTTACAAAACAGAAGAGTAACAGGTTATCAGAAGAGGGGAAGGGCTGGAGAGTTTGTCTGTTGGGTTATTAATGGGCCAGGGAGGGAGGAGGGTCTGCCACAGGTGGCTCACATTTTGGGTTGAGGAGGGCTCTTTATTACCACTTTTTATGTGTTTATCAAAGCTAAAAAAAAAGTTTTGTTTTTTGTTTTTCTTGAGTGAAGTCCGTTTGGAGTCTCCATACAGTTCCCAATTTCCAGGTAAGAGTCTCTTCTAAGCTCAGGCCCTTGTGCTGCTGCTGCCGCTGCCAGGGCGAGACCCTGGTCCTGGGAGGAAAGAGAGAGCAACCATTAGGGAAGAAGCCCTTGGGTGTCATGGAGACGCTGTATGAGAGCAATGCCAGTGCCTAGTGGGCGTCAGGCACGGCTGCAGTGCCGGGAGAGGAGGGAAGGCCCCACCCCACCCCCACCCAGCTTGCAGCTTACCCTCAGGTGATAACCTCAGCCGAGGATGACTTAGGAAGTAACAGAGGGGTAAGAATGAACTGGGTGGGAGCTGGAAGGTCCCAGGCCGAGATCAGGTATGGAAAAGCAGGGGAGACTTGGAGGCTGGAAGGGGCCTGCCTGGCATGTGGGAGGAACAGGCCACAGGCTAAAGCGGCAAGCAAGGAGAGTGGGCCGGGCACTGGGCCAGATCAGAAGTGGGTGGCTACGTTGTTCTTCCTCCTGGGGTTCAGTGGTTCACATTTTTAAGATGCTAAAGGTCATGAATGGCAAGTTCTTGAAGGGCTTTCTAGTATGAAGGTGTGACCTAACGTTTCAAAACAGGCTGCTCGGCCTCCCACGAACAGAAGGCAAGAGCAGCCACGGGGGACACACTGGAAGGCTCCTTCCGCCTCTGCCCTGCACAAAAGCAGGGCTGGGCATGGAGACGCAGGGGTGCATATGGGAGGGCTGCCGTGGATGCCATGGGGTAGGGTGCTTGCTGGGTATTTGGGGGAGATGGGAACAGGGGTTTGGAGCTTGTAGCCACCCCTCAGGAACAGGTCATGTTTAAGCCAAGGGCAGAGAGGAGTCACCCAGAAAAGGCTCAAGGAGAAGAGGAGCATCACAGAATGGCTGCTCTGGCCTACGCCACCTCCTGCTCTCACCTGCAGCCTCAGTGGCCAAGGCGCTGGACTCCTGAGTGTCTTGGGTGGCACTGGTGAGCCTGGGCCTGGGGGCGCCAGCCTCCTCTGGTGGGCAGCCAGGCTGCAGCAGCACCTCGGCCTGGTAGCATGGAGCCCGCTCCTCTTCCTGGGTGTAGCGCCGTGGGGTGTCCAGGCCCAGCACCCCGCTCCAGGGGCCAAGGCTGTGGGTCCCCTGACAGTCTGGGGACAGGCCCATGTCGCAGCCTACATCCTCAGGAATGATGGGGATGCGCTGGCTCAGGTCCTGGGCCCCTGGGTAGCAGCTGGGTGGGGGTTCCTCCGCCAGGGTGTACTGCACACTCACCGCGTAGTCCCCGCCCCCGCCACGGGCCACCTGCTTCTCTTCATAGAAGCAGCAGGGCAGGCCCTCGTACTGCACCTCGTCTGTCCTGGGCAAATGGTCGGCGTGCAGGCTGTACACGCCCTGCGAGCTCCCTGGTTGCACGTCCCCACCCGCGGGGCCGCAGCCATCGTGGAGTGGGGAGCCCAGGAACAAGGGGCCGCCACCCCCAGCTGTCCCTGCCCCGGGCCCCAGTGGAGAGGACTGAGGCTCACAGCAGCAGGCACACGATGACCCCTCCCAGCCCCCCTTCCAGGTCCTCCTGAGTTCCAGAGCGGCCCCAGGAGAAGCCTCCAGCCCCACTTCTGAGGTAGAGCTATTGGGCCCCCGGTGCTCCAGCGAGGAGTTGCTGCTGTAATTCATCTCCAGGCTGCAGGTGGACAGCTGGTCCCCCGAGGGAGAGGCCGGGCCGGGCCACAGCTCGCCCTGCCCAGCGCTGTGGCCAGGGACGACCTGGAGTTCCTCAGGTGGGGGGGAGCCCTCAAGGTGCACAGCAGGCCCTCGGCCTGAGCCCCCCGCCTCACTGGTGTGACAGGGGCTCCGGCTGCGGTAGATGAAGGGGTCGTAGTCGCTGCTGAGGGAGCTGCGGAAGGTGGAGCAGCTGCCGTACACGCCCTGGTTGCTCACCTCGGTGCAGTCCACCACGGAGTCACTGGATGAGCAGTGGCACTGGCCCGAGCTGCTGCTGCTGCTGCTGTCGCTGCCCGGGCAGTCAGCCAGGTAGCCGCTGCACACGGAGCGGTGGCCGTGGTAGCAGCTGAAGCTGGACGTGCTGCCACTGTCCAGGTGAGTGGCCGGGGCCATGTGCACCACGGTGGGGAAGAGCAGGCCGCCGCTGCCGCCGCCTGGTGGGAAGGGCCGGGCCGGGCCCCTGGGCGCGAGGCTGGGTGGGGGCTGGCCCTCCTGATCTGGGTAGCTGAGGCCCTGGAAGTAGTAGTGTTGGTACATGGTCTCGTATTGGGAGAAGCAAGCTGCCTTGGAGAAGCTGCGGCCATTGAACTTGGGCCTGCGGAAGGGGTGGGCCGGCGAGTAGGCCCGGTGCTCCAGGCCGCACCGGTGAGTGGCCAGGGTGTGGTCCAGGTGCAGGGGTGGGTAGCCACGGACATAAGCAGGGGTCTGCGGGGAGTAGAGGCTCTGCTCCGCGTGCCGGTCCATGGTCAGCAGCGTGACAGGGTTCCCGTGGGAGTCCATGCTTGTCCTCGTAGGGTAGGCTGGGATGGCGTTGGTCCTGTGCACGCGGCCGGGATAGTGTACCGGCAAGGTGACCCTCGGCTGCCGGCTGCGGGCCAGGTTGCTCGTCTCCACACACAGGGCCCCCGGGTTTCCCTTTTGCTCTGGGAGAAGTGGAGGGAACAAAGTTAAGGCTGAAGCAACAAGCTGGGCCACTAGCCAGGGTGTGTGTCCTCATCTCCCCCCTCCCCGCCCCATCCGAAGCCATCTCCACGCCTGGCTGTCAGCTCCCTGGGGCTCTGCCCGGTGACAGCACCAGGGAGTGGACAGAGCCATGTGGTCTCAAACATGAGACTGTCCTGCCCCCATCCTGTCACGGTGACACGACGCTGCTGCGTACTCATCTCTGTGGTCCCACGGGGACACACCCATGTCTGGGCTGGGGTACACGTCAGTACTGCCACCTACTAAGGAGACTGGTGAGGCCGGGTCACGGCTGTTACCTATGATGTTGTGCCGACAGTGGGGGCAGGTGTGGTGCTGCAGCAGCCATGGGTCCACACACTTCCTGTGAAAGCGGTGAGTACAGGGGATGACGCGCAGCTCCTGCGGAGGGGGAGGGGGAGAGGGGACACAGGCTATCGGAGGGCACAGGGCGGGGGTGGAGGTAGGGGAGGCAGCCTTGCCCTTACATCTTTCATAGATGCTTTCTCCTGGGAGGCCTAGCGTAGCCTGTGGAACCCACTCTCCACGCTGCTGCCTTCCTGCCAGCTTTGCCTCTTAGTTGTGTTAAAGGTTTGGTCCTGGCTGGGTGCTGGGAGGTAGGGCGTGGTGGGACGTTTTTGGATTCTTGGGGACATGATTTGGAAGGGGAGTGTCAAGGGATCCTGCCTGGGCTCCTTTCTCCTTTTTAAACGTTCTTGGTGCTGGTCTTGGAGCTTGAATTCAGGGCCTGGACACTGTCCCTGAGCTTCTTTTACTCAAGGCTAGCACTCTACCACTTGAGCCACAGCTCCATTTCCTTTTTCTTTTCTTTTGGTAGCTTATTGGAGATAAGAGTCTCACAGACTTTCTGCCTGGGATGGTTTCAAAGATTACAGGTGTGAACCATCCAGCCCTCCTCCTCTTTTGCTTTTGCTTTTTTAGTGGCACCAGGGTTTGAACTGAGGGGCTCACCAATGTTCTATCAGTTGAGCCCCTTTGTGGTGCCCTGTTAACAAGCTGAGCAGTCCTACTCAGCCACGCGCTCCTCCCATCATGTGCTACTCACGAGAGGTTCCATAAAATGGGCCAACTGATTGAGAGCTAAATTCTCTAAAACTGTGAACCTGCAGAAACCTTTTCTCTTTCTAAGTTGACCATCTCAAGCATTTGCTACAGTAATGGAAAACAAACAATTTCTACTATCCTCTTCACCTCTAGCTACTGGTCTGCTCCAGCCCGAGGCAGGAACCCTGGATGGTTTCTTGGGAGAAGAAAGCTGCCTACCCATCTGCTCCAACCTCATTCTTCCCTCAGTGTTAAAAGGGCAGAAGCGCAGGGGCATCGACTCCTCTCCTGGAGTTGGGGCACATGCACACCCCTTGTGCCACCTGGGCCTGGCAGAGAGGCCTGGGAACAATCAAGACCCCCAAACGAGGACAAGGAGAAAGGTAGATATCTAACATCTAGGACTTGTGACTGGTGACATGCGCGGAAGGGGAGGAACAGAATCCTAGGCCCCACTGTCACTGGACCCTAACTCTTACCATGGAGCACTTGGTTTCTAAGTAAAGCAGCTGCATGAAGAGACTGTGACAGGGTTTTCAGGGATAGAACCACCTCCAGAGCTACTGGGCTAAGCATCCTCCATGTTTACTAATTTTACCTTTTTTTTTTTTTTGGGGGGGGGGAGTCAGTTGTGGGGCCTGAACTCTGAGCCTAGGCGCTGTCCCTCAGCTCTTCAGCTCAAGGCTACTGCTCTACCACTTGAGCCATAGTGCCACTTCCGACTTTTTTCTTTTTGTTTATGTGTTTCTGAGGAATCGAACCCAGGGCCTCAGAGGCATGCAAGGCAAGCGCTCTACCACTGAGCCACCTTCCCAGCCCCTAATTTTACTTTTGTCTTCCCATTTTCTAACTAGTCTGACACAGTGCTTCTGCCTGACCAAGTGCCAAGGCTGACATGAGTTCCCTCACATAACCTGTGTGGCCAGCTAGAACACTGGTCAGTCCTGGGCTGCATGGCATAGCCACTACAGGGAATGAAGCCTGTAGTACAAATCTGCAAAGCTACAGTCTGCCCAGCATGTGAGCCCAGGAGTCTGGACCCAAGGTCCACGCAAGAAATTGCCAAGGGCCTCTCTTATTTTCACCAGAGGCCTGCCAATTGCCTGAAATTAATCAATCAACCTGCTAGCTAGGTGCCCTACACTTAAGCCATGCCCTCAGACCTAGTGTCTGCAATTCAAGTCATTTGCCCTTGAGACTTGCTCCCCGAACTGTGTATATATACACATCTATTTGTCCAAAAAATATTAATGACAGTGTGGTAAATGATGTATGTTGTTCATCTTTCTCAGAAGGTGTTTACAAAAGAAAAAGCTACAGGGGAAAAAAAAGGGTGGAGGGGAGTCATCAAATTCCTTGCAAGTAAATACATTGTGTCAAGAGTTTTCAGAAGAGTGATTTTAAAGGAAGCCAGCTTAGGGTTTTTTGTTTGTTTGGGTCAGTCCTGGGGCTTGAACTCAGGGCCTGGACACTATCCCTGAACTTCTTTTTTGCTCAAGGCCAGCACTCTACCACTTGAGCCACAACGCCACTTCCAACCTTTTCTGTTTATGTGGTACTGAGGAATCAAATCCAGGGCTTCATGTACGCTAGGCAAGCACTCTACCACTAAGCCACATTCCCAGCCTGTGTGTGGATGTTCCTAAAACCACATTTTTAATCCTACCATGTATTTCTAATTGGCTTCTGAAGTCACCTGCTGTTTGATAGGTGGATACCTGTGTGTGGGATTTCTCCATCCAAAAGAAGACATGTTTAGAATGCCTTGGGCCGGCTCCTTGAGGCCTGGAGGTTAAAGCCCTTCAGCTGCTACAAGGCTGGGGGGGACGAGGGCGGGATCATGGTCCTTAGCACCTCTGTGGGCTTGTTAACTTCCTTCTTCCCCAACCAGGACAGTCCTGCCCTTGCCACTACCTCTCCATCGATATATTTCTCCAGGCAGATGGCACAGTCAGACGTGGAGCTGCTGCTCAGCGTGTCCAGGGCCCCACAGCTCTCCTCCCGGCGCCCCTTGCTCTTTGAGTTGAATTTTCTGGTTTCCATCTTCTCCAGAGCTTGCACAGCCAGCCTGTTCATGGAGTTCTGCAGGGCAGAGCGAGGGCAGGGTTAGCTGGTTGTTAGTGGTACCAGTCACCCTCATGGCCACGCCCTTCAGTATACTGGGATGGGCAAACGCTGCTCTCTATTAGGCCAAAATGGATTCTTGAGAAATGACTAAAAACTCAGACTGCCACAGTAGCCATTTCCTAGACCCTCTGGGTGTCTGTATCAGCTTAGGCTGCCCCTAAGTGGCAGTACCAACAAACATGTCACTTTCACAGAGAGGGCAGGGGTCTCCATCACTCGGCCCTGAGGATTCCCAGCTGTGAGAGCCTGTGCTCGGTACCAAGGGTTCCTCCTCTCCACTGAAGGAAGCTGCATGTGGGTGAAAGAAAACTCATGCCTGGCAGCTGCTGAACAAAATATACTTCATAAACACCTGGCCCTGTTGTGTCGGCAGTGGCCCCAGAACCCCCATGACAACAAAGATGATTCTCTTGGTACATCGGTGGCCCTCGCTCTCTCCTCAAACTTTAGATTTCTGCTTTCCCTGTACCACCCCCCAGGCCTCAAACCTTTCCTCCTATTTGTACACAGTGACCGCTGGCAGGGTATCATGTGGCTACCCTGGTCATCACGAATCAAGAGGGCTCAGTTTGGTGGGGGCAGGGCCTGAGAGTCTGCATTTCCTTCAGGCTCCCAGGTGCTGCTGATGCTCAGATCTCTTCGAGGAACAAAGTTTCAGGGCTCCATGGAAACTACTTAAACATTTCTCCTGCAAAACTAGCTAGGAGTTAGTTTTTGGTCCTCGTAGGACTGGGCCTCTTGGACAGGCAGGGAGCTCAGACCCGCCAATAGCTGGCTGACCATATCCTGGCATTCACTAGCCACAGGGCAACGGGGTCAATGTTCCCAGGCTGCTCTGGGCATTACCTGACTGCGCCGCTGCTTCAGCTTGATTTTGACAAGGAGGATAAGACAGACCAAGGAGACCACCACGAAGAAAGCCAGGAAAATTCCCATGTCAAAGTACTCAGTAGGTTGCTGGAACAGAACACAACACCATGAATCACAGCGGCCTCGCTTCAGCTTGTGCACACAGGCCGTGACTCCTGGCTAAGTGGGGGCAAGTGAAGTGGGGGCCGCTCAGTGTGCAGGAATCTCCTGGGGATCTGTCCCCGTGTCCACAGAGCGCTCCCAGGGGACGTCTCCGGTGTAGCTGGGGGGTGGGTCTGCAGCAGCCTCAGGCCTCCCAGTAACCAAGGGAACTATGGGCATAGCCGGGGCCTCTGTGAACAGCCCAGAGTGCACTGTAACCAGCACGGAAGACCCTTCCAAATAAACACAAATAATCACATTTATAGGACAAAGGCATGAGTGTCATGTTTTGAGGGAACAGTGATTACTAACCATATAATTAACGGTTTACAACAACTCAGAAAATTGTATGCTGCTTCCACAAATATCAGCTTCCACTACAATGAGTCATATTTACCAGAGTTCTTTTTTTTTCCCCCCCTTTAAAAAGAAGCCAGCAAATCAGCTCTCCACACTCCCTCTAGACTTAGTCCTTGCCTTTTCCCCACAGCACACTGCTATCCTATCACTGGAAGCTGCTTCGCCTAGCACATGCATTTAACAGTAGGGAGCGAGCTTTGCTAATAGGAGGCTCACGTGCCAAAGAATCACCAACACGGACTATTCCACGGCCCATGTGGAGGGACTCAGACATACACGAGGTTCCAGTCCTAGGTTCCTAGCATCTTTCAGCCTGAGGCTGGGGGCAAGATGCCAGGTAAACATTAACTGCCAGCACACTGAAGAGAAGCTGAGCCACTCTTGTTAGTCCAGAAAGTCAGTTCCTGCTGAAAGCTAACCCTTCCATACTCAACTGTGAGGGAGACTTAACAAGGTAAACGATGGGAAGAAAAGAGATATAGGAAGGCAAGTGCTACATACACTCTGCCTTTTACCCTTCTCAGTTTTGTTTCTTAGAGAGAGAGAGACAGAGAGAGAGAAAGAGAGAGAGAGAGAGAGAGAGAGAGAGAGACAGAGACAGAGACAGAGACAGAGAAAGAGATATGGGATGGGAGAGAAAGAACCTATAGACTTCTTAGATTAGTCTCCTCTGTGTTAAGGTTTACCAAATTCTCCACATAGGAATCTGGTTGAAAATTGCCCCTGGCCTCCTGTCTTAGCTCAACCTGCAGGAATCAGGGACTTGGCACTGTAGACACAGGCATGGGGAGGGGCAGGAGAAGCTGCCTGGCACGGACACTCACGCGAGGGGCGCGGTGCTGGATCCTCGCTCGAGCCACTTTCTGCTTGTTGACAATGTTCATCAGCTTAATGGCGTCTGCGCCCTTCACATACACCACTGGCCTCTTGAGTGGGTCTTCTGAGCCCTGGTTTAGCTGAGGAAGGAAAAAGGGCTCTGGTTAAAAGGCACACTTCCAGAAGCAAGAAAGCACCAGGTATGTAGTTCAGAGGCACAGTATTTGCCTAGCATGCTCAAGGCCCTAGGTCCCATCCCCCTTGACGCCCTATGGAGAGAAAGAAGAGGACTGGAGGAAATAAACACTGAGTCTCTGTCTAGAAATCCTTGAAGCCTTCAAGTGTTATAGTCTTGGGGTTCCAGGAAAGGCGAGGCTAGGATGATGCTTGTTTTATAAGATGGGCTAGAAGAATCTGTGTGTGTGTGTATTGTCAGTTGTAGGGCCTGAACTCTGGGCCTGGGCGCTGTCCCTCAGCTCTTCAGCTCAAGGCGAGCGCTCTACCACTTGCGCCACAGCACCACATGCATGCAAGGCAAGCACTCCACCACTGAGCCACCTTCCCAGCCCCTAGAATCTTTGAAACTCCCCTCCATCCCCATTTCTCTGGCTCTGAGCCCCTCTCCACACACCTCCCTCAGGTATGATGTTCAAACACAGACATCTTGCTTCAGCAGACAAGGACAAAGGCTCTAAGATGAAGGTGCCAAGACAGTGACCAGCCAAGCTAACTAAGGGAAGTGCTTCTCTCAGGCAGATGGCAGGGAGAGCTAGTGCAGCCCGAGTTTACCTGGTCAATGGCTTCTGGGTTTTCAGACACATCAAAGATGACTGCTGTGGCTCCCCTTTGCACGGCTCGCTTGGCCTGGAGGGGTGAGAAAGAGCAGGTTGGCAAGTCTGGCCCCTTTACCCTCTCCGATTAAGCTTGTATTCCAATGGGTGAGTCACATAAATGAAAAAGGGAGAAATGCTACCTACCTTGCACAGTTACGCTAAGAACAGATAACTCAGAATAGGTAAAAATAGGTAACTGGGCACTCACTATATGTCTGTGTCCTGAGCAAGGCCAAGCATTGAAACCAAGCTGTGAATCAACCACCTGTCCAGGCAGCATAGAGGTATCAGTTTCAGTATTTTCTGCTTTGAATATAGTGCCTCTCGTAGCCAAAACATATGCCTCTTTGGTTCATCTCTTGCCTGTCTTATTTCCTTCCTTCTTCCTGCCTTCCTATGTCACCTAGTTAAAACAGCATATTGCCTATTTCTGAACGAATCTCAAAACGGTCAATTTTAATAAGTGACAGAAGCTGAAGCCCTTTGGGGATACTGTTGAGGGGGAAGGCTATGCGAAATAATTGTAAATGGGGATTTAGAACAGTTGGCTGCCAAACCTGGCTGCACATCAAAAAACCACTTGGGAAGTTTGTAAAGCAGATTTCCTGGCTCAAACCACAGAGACTTATTCAGCAAGGCTGGAGGCAGGCCTAGGAAGCTGAGTTCTATAAGCCTGCGAAGAGATGCAGAAGTCAACCACAGATCACACAGATGAGACGAGAAGGTTTAGGAACAAACAAGAAATGACAGATTTGTTTTTCTTTCTGGGGAGGGGGACATGGAGGGAGAGGATTCCTTTCCATCCTAATGAACCTTCTAATTTTACATCTAGCTAACTGGGCAACAAAACAGAAGCACAAGATATAAGACAGGCACTTGTTTTTAGGAGCTAGAACCTTGTAAGGGAGACGTGTGTGCACATGTGCATGCATGCGTGCGCTGCACGTATGTGTGTGCCTTCTAAAAATGGTGGGGAAAACAAGACAAAAACTAGCTTGCCAGAAGAAGAACAAGTGATAGCTTCTTCTCAGAGTTCAAATAGTGTCAGCATGGGGGCCAGGTACTTGGGAAAGAATGAAAATCTGAATTACTTCACAGGAACAATCCTGTATACTGTGGCAATGAAAGAAAGGGAGCCTCAACAATGGGCTTGATCAATGTCTCCATTTGACCACTAGAGGGCAGTCTTGCCCCATGGCTTTCAAGCCCATTCACAGTACTAGGTACCAAATAAAACAGCTACAGGGACAGAGCACATTTAGGAAACTCTAGTGCTGTGTTGCAGAATCTGTTCTTGTTCTGCAAGGGACCTTTTTTTTTTTTTTTTTTTAAATATTGTGCCAATCCTAGGGCTTGAATTCAGGGTCTGGGCTTTTGTACTCAAGGGTAGCACTGTGGGACAGGCACCCCCAAAAAAGACATTGTGCTAAACAAAACATAGTTTACTTGCCACACAGAAGATGACCCCCCCAAACCATGCTGATGAGTAAGACTATCAAAATTTAAAACTATATCTTTTTATTTTCAGTGCCAGTGCAGGGGCCTGAACTCAGGGTGTGTGCTCTCCCTGAACTTTTTCACTCAAGGCTTTACCACTTGAGCCACAGCTCTCTACTTCAAGTTCTTTTGGTGGTTACCTGGAGATAAGAGTCTCGCAGACATTCCTGCTCTGGCTGGCTTTGAAGCATAGCCCTCAGATTTCAGGAGTAATTAGAATTACAGATAGAGCCACCGGTGCCCAGCCTTTAAATTGTTTTTAAATTGCAACTTAGTGTACTTAAGTCTCCGCTGATAGTACACAGCACCGATTTCTTGCACTATGCCCAAATCCTATCCTGGGCAAGTTATTCCATGTTTTGTTTTTTATATTTCACTTTCTTGTGGTATGGGGAATCCAAATCAGAGCTTTGCACGTGCTGGGCAGGCACTAGGCCTCTGAGCTGCAGCCCAGTCCTTTAGTTACTGTCTTTCAATTCCAGCCTCAATTTCCTCATCTGTAAAAGGAAGAGGTGTCTGCCTGCACCATCATGACCAATGTCCCTTCAGCTCCCAGTCTTGGGCATTCAACTGAGAACTCAGGAGGCTTGAACTGCCAAGGCCCTATCACCTCCCTCTGATAAGAAGACATGGGTGACACAGAGAAGAGAGTGGAAGGCCCAGGGGCCTTGCTTTCTTCATGACGCTGCTTCAAGCCACAGGCCCACAGCTTGCGGGCTGCACTGGTAACCGCAAGTAGGTGTTTGTGTTTCTGCTCAGGTGGTATCCCAGGCTGCTTCCCAAATTCCTTCCTGAGACAAGGAAATAAACAAGGCCTCTGTTCCTTCTCTCAACTGTTCATTCCAGGATCCCAGCATATCAAACAGTACCCGCAGGGAATGTGGTTCAGATATGTCCTGATGAGGAGTGCCCATGCCTCTTGCTTTTGATGCCGGCGCACCTGGGGAGTCTGGCACAGGGGATGAAAGGCCGCGGGATCTGGGTAGGGAATGCCTTCCCAGAGGGCGTCTCCGGGAAGCCACGCAGCCACGAGGCCCCCAGGCTCTGCAGGGGCCACAGGAACATGGGTGTCTCCAACGACTTGGAGGTTCCTGAGGAGGCATAGCTCCTTTGGGACAAGCTTCAAAGGTATTTTTTGTTTGTTTGCCTTTTGCAGTGCTGAGGATTGAATCCCAGGTTTCATGAACACCCAGCACGTGCTCTAACACTGAATCACATCCTCAGGCGCGTGCGTGCGTGCGTGCGTGTGTGTGCGCGTGCGTGCGTGTGTGTGTGTGTGTGTGTGTGTGTGTGTGTGTGTGTGTTGATACTGGGCCTTGAATTCAGGGCCTTGCACTCTTGTTTAGCTTTTTCACTCAAGAATGGTGGATCTATCACGTAAGCCAGGCCTCACTGGTGGCTTTGAACCATGATCTTCAGGTCTCGGGCTCCTGAGGAGCTAAAATTATAGGCATGAGCCAATGGTGCCTAGTAACCTGGTTTCTACAAAGAGGGCTGGTAGAGAATAAATACTTAAATCCCATTTATAGCTTGACTTGAGGTACAATGAGGCTAACATAACACACAGGGATCCAAAGGTAAGACCTATGGTTGAAAAAAAATGTTTGCTTTTCACAGTTAATTCACTTTATTTCTTTTCCGTTTTTCTCAGTCTGAGACTGGGACTCAAACTTGGTACCTGTGGCTGCCTTTGCTCATTGGTTAGCACTCTTCCAACTGAACTATGCATCCAACCCATTATAAATGATTAAAAATTACATTTAGCTGGGCACTTGTGGCTCATGCCTGTAATCCTAGCTACTCAGGAGGTTGAGATCTGAGGACTGCAATTCAAAGCCAGCCCAGGCAGGAAAGTCCATGAAACTTTTACCTCCAGTAAAAGCACTAGTCCTGAGCAAAAAAGCTTAAGGACAATGTCCAGGCTTTGAGTTCAAGTCTCAGGACTGGCACATACATACACAAAATAAATTGTTCCTAAAAAGACCAACTGGCAAGAAGGAGAAGGGAGTCAACCCAGGATCCCACTGAGAGCTTGCTAGTCAGCTGGCAATTAATTTAGAGTTGATTCTGAAGGTCTGGGTATAGGTGAGTGGGAAAATGCTTGCCTAGCATGCATGAAATCCTGAGGTCCATCCCTTGGGGGTGGGGGTGGGGTGAGAAGAAATAGGGGGGAGAGTAGAGGGGAGGGGGGAAAAGGGGAGGGAAAAGAGGGAAGGGGAGAAAAGAGAACAACCCATACTTAAGAGATTCTATCATTCCCAAAATAAATTAAAAAGTATAGAACACTGCTTTGGTCACATTTTCCCTAGTGGCCCTCACTTTCAGTTTAAAATTTGATAAGGCAAAGTCTTTTACACAATTTTCCTATCTTTCACCCAATTTCCTATTTTACCTTAAGCCAGAATATTATCTCCAAACAAATCTAAAACTCCAGTTGGGAGTTGAGCAGTCTTAGGATTACTAGAAACTATATGCTGTCGAATCTTTTGAAAGAGTGGGAGGCCATAGCTAGGCGAAGGTCCTGGTAAACCTGGTTATACTCTTCAACTGCATGGCCAGGGGTGCAAGGAAGAACAGAAGGCTGTGAACTCATCAGGAAGAGGCGTTAAGTCCTGGTGAGGCTTAAAGAGCAGCCAAAGGCCTCGCCTTGATGACCTTGGCCTACCCTTGCCACGAGTCATCTTCCCATCCTTCCCCACTCCAGCAGGTGAACAGCAGCCAGCCCAGCGGCAGCAGGTAGAATATAAGGTTGTTATGGTGCTTCCCAGGGCTACAGGCGACATTCCTAGCCACTGAGCCAAGTTAAAGGGAGAACTCCTGCACATTACATGTGCAAATACATTTTGCAAAGCACAAAAATTGGATCTTAGAAGGCAGGGCCCTTTTGTGGTTGGCACCCCATGATAAGGGATGTGTGTGTACATGCGCACACTTGTGCACACACACGTGCATATGCTGGCGTTTGAACTCTGGGCCTGGTGCTCTCACTTGGCTTTTTTGCTCATGGCTGATACTCTTAGAACTTGAGCCTTGCTTCTGACTTTTTGCTGGCTCATTCAATACATCTCTTGAATTTGCCTGGGTTGGCTCTGGACGGTGATTCTCAGATCTCAGCCTCTACAGTAGCTGGGATTATAGGCATTTTGAAACTGCAAACAAATAATTCATCTATCATCTGCCCTCATTACACCTGCGTGTAATATATATTACACGCACCAAAATGTAGTAAAAAATAAATCGGGTGTACACTGTTTTGTGCTCTGCTCTGTTTTTTTTTTTTTTAACAATTTATTCAACAATTTCATATCATTGATATGCGGGAAAAGGTTCATTTTCCTTAGAAGCAATTCTTATTACCCAGTTACATTGTTGTGCAGAACTGACTTAATGATTGTCCTCTGCCAGGCAGGGAGGAGACATCTCCATTCTGTATATAAACAGTGCTGTATTCACCTCATGCTGCTCACAACCTGGTGGCTCTGAGCAGTCCTATACACAAACACCTTGCTTGGACATCAGGCATACTTTCAGAGT